ATAAACATATATAGTAATACAATAAGTCCCAAAAAAGATGGTTTCCCAATGAAATACAAAATGACTAGTCTCACTAAAACTGGAAACCAAACTAAATAATCTCTAATGAAGTGGTACCTCTGATATTCCATAATTATTTACTGACTTATACAAGGGGGCTTCAAAACAGTAATAGAAAAAATGGAATTAAAGGATAATGGAATTTTCCACTAACTTTTTTTTTAAGTGTTTTATTGTGAATTATATGATACTTTACATGGGAGAACATTAGTTTTACATTCATTCTATCGTACATCGTATCATTGCCATGGTTACAATCCCCTCCATGTATCATCAACTGACCAAAGGGTATACCCTGCAAGTCTGCCCCCTACACTACCTCCACTAACTTTCTGAACCTCTATTGTATTTATTTTTATTCATAAAACTAGCTGAATTCATGTTTCAATTACTTAGAGTGTCTTCTGCAAACAAACAGTGGCTTGAATATTTAACTTAAATATCTTTTGTTGTTGTCTTGTTCTCATTGTTTTTCTCAGAGAAAGATTTAAATCAGTAACTCTATTTTAGAAATGTTTTATTTCCCCTTAAAGTGGCCATAAAGATTTACCTATTGCTTCCACTAATGTTGGATTAAGTAATTCAGAACAAGCTCCCCACTGAAAACAATTAGAAAAGTGGGGCAAGATAAAAACAAACAAAACCCAGCTATTCTTTGTAACCGAATAAGACAGTGAATTATGAAAAGAAGAAACTCTCAAGCTAATGAGCATCATAAGCCAATGTTGCCCTGAGGTTACCTGGTGTCTGAAAGACAGAAACACAACTGAAATCAGTACAAGTTTAGAGGGAAAAATTAAAACTCAGAATTTGTTAATATTTATATCAACCTCCCAGCTGTTATTGTTGTTAAGAGCCCTCGAGTCCGTTCTGACCTATAGTGACCCAATATAGGGTTTCCGAGGAGCAGATGGTGGGTTTGAACCACCGACTTTGCAGTACAAACTGGCCTTGTGGTCCAGTGCATTATCCTGCAGTGCCACACCAGGACTCCTCCCAGAAGCAGCATTAAAGTCTATATACAGGTAATGACATAAAACAAGTCTTCAAATTAGTCCCATTTTTTTTATTAACATACAATGCAAATATCTGGTCTACAGCCAGAAATAGTATATTAAAAGAATGCTCTGATGGCACAATAGTTAAGTGACAGATTGTAAGCAGAAGGTTAGTGGTTTGAACCCAATCAATGTTCTGCAAGGGAAAAGCCTGTTTACCTGCTTCCATAATGATTCCAGCTGACAGAACACTCTGGGGGAGTTCTACTCTGTCATTTAGGGTCACTTTGAGTCAGTATCTACTGAATGACACACAACAACATTAGAACATGAGATTAAAACCTATGCGAAACAACAAGCTATAAAAACAGAAACTACAGGGAAGCCAGAAATGGAGTTCTCCAACTATAGATTTTTAAATAAATATGCTTAATATGCTCAAAGAACAAAGAGACAAGATTAATCATTTTGTTCATCTTAATTAAAAGATAAAGCAAAGAAATGAGCATTACAAAAAAAAAATAGAATTCCAAGACTGGAAAATCAATCAATGAAAGTTAAAGAATTATTATGTAGGTTGGTTTACAGGAGCAGAAAGTCCTATCTTTCTGCCTCAGAGCAGCTGGTAAATTTGATCTGCCATCCTGCAGTTAGCAACCCAGTGCTTATCCTACAGCACTACCAGGATTCCTAAAGGATGAACTGTTGTTATTGTTAAGTGCCATCGAGTCAGTTCTGACCAATAATAGCGACCCTGTAAGGGTTTCTGAGGAGTAGCTGGTGAGCTTGAACCACTGACTTTGTGGTTCTAACTGACTTTACAGTTCAGAGCATTAACCCACAGCACCACGCCAGAACTCCAAAGGATGAATAGTAAAGTGGGGGGAAAAAAATTCCAAAAAGAAGCAGGATAGGAAAATGGAGAAGTCATGAGGAATGGAATACAGAAGGCAAAGGATTAATACGTGTAATTGAATTCCCAGAAGAAAAGTGAGAGAATGAGGCAGGGGCAGAACAAACACTGACAAATTTCCAAAACAGGAAGACACAGTAACCAATTCAAGAAGTCCTATTTACCTCAAGCAGCTTAATAATAAAAACCATATTTAAGTAAATCAGTTACAACAAATACACAGAAAAACAAAAATGAAAAAAAAAATGTTTAATTGGAATCTGCCTAAGCTGACTTTGGCATTTACATTTTGAATATATTTGCATCTATGGCATACTGAGGAGTCCTGGTGTGGCACTGTGGGATGATGCACTGGACCAAGAGGCGGTTTTGGAACTGCAAGGTTGGTGGTTCAAATTCACCAGGCGCTTAGCGGAAACCATATACAGGGTTGCTAAGAGTCGGAACCGCCCTGATGGCACTTAACAACAACAACAACATGGCACACTGAATGTATCACGAGCTTTAAGAACAAAACAAATCTGTCTTGGACTAAATCTAGCCAGAATGCTGTTAGGTAAGGAGGATGATTAAGACTGTCTCAGGCACTCTGGACATTTTATCAGGAAGGGCCAGTGCCTAGAGAAGAACATTATGCTTGGTAAAGAAAAGGATCAGGGAAAAAGGAAAAAAAACCTCGTGGGTTCAAATGACCATAAGGATGGTGCAGCACTGGGCAATGTTTGATCTTATTATAAATGGGTTGATATGAACCAGAACTCACTTGATGGCACACAACAATAAGAATCGATCCTTAGGTCCACACCTTCTAATAGTACTGTCACTCAGTCTGCAGATTCTTTTCCTTCCCATTACTCAGATCTTTGTGTCTTCTACTTTAAATTACACAAAATTTAGGATTAACAGCTCTCATCAGGCCTTCTCTGCAGGATTTCCCAAACAGGACAATACCTATTTATCTGACTTCAACTTGTAAATTTCTTTAAAAAATAGATCATGGCCATGAAATACATCCGTGTTTCTGACTATTTTCATAACTACTGAAATAGCACACAAGCTACCTCTTCAGTGAAAATATAAAATGTTAATTCTATACTCTAGACAACAGTAGGGACATGAGCTTCAATAATTAGCTGATGAAAGATATTTCCTATAGAGTTGTGTTGTTTTTTTCTAACATTAATATTCAATTATAAGAAATTTGTAAGGCAATAGCATCAATTTTTGTGCTTCATGGAATCAAATCCCCTAATATATACTTAATACATAAAACATGACTATGTTCAAAGTCTAAAATTTCTGTTTAATACAGATTGTCCTGAAACCTAACAAGAAATAAAAATAAGCAGATAAAAACTCAGTTTCATTAGAAAAAAAAAAAGAGAGAATGAATGAGAAACTATAATAACTCTTAACACTAACATATTAGTAGGTTACAGCAAATTAATCCTTCTACAGCACCACATTAGACTTTTCCTACAAAGCATCCAAACTTTTTTTTTTTTTTTTAACACTCATTACAGCATAAGACATCGACATAAAACTCCTCTCCCACACTGACATTTAAGTTCTCAAACTAGTGGAATGTTGCATCTTAAGAATTTAAAATTTCATTTAAAAAATTTGTACCATTCTTCATTCTAGCCTATACAAAAATAAACCATGAAAATGTATCTGTATTGCTAAATTTGTAATTTCAAAACATTCCCTTACTCCATGAGTAAACAAATCAGAATTGCAAAACTTTGTCTTAATTAAAATATAGCTGTTGCAATTTGTGCTGTCAAGTTGGTTCCAACTCATGACTCTGTATAGGATTCCCAAGCAGTAGCTAATGAGTTTGAGCTACCGACCTTACAGCTAGCAGTCCAGTGCTTATCCTGCAGTGCCACACTAGGACTACAACATGGTATGCTGTTCACTGTTAAGTGCCATTGAGTTGGTTCCACTCATAGTGACCCTGGTTTCAAAGGAGCAGCTGGTGCATTGGAACTGTTGGCCTTGTGACTCGTAGTTCAGTGTTCACCCTAAAGTACCACAGTAGTAGTCCAGTACCTTGTAAATCTGTTGGGTTTACCTGAAATATGGTTCATTTCTAGTTTTTGCTCCATTGTTTTTTGTTTTTTGTTTTTTCCTGAGACAAACCAGGAAGCTTCAGTAGAGAAACTGATGTTTCTATAAGTTCTAACAGACTTTCATAGAATCTGTGTCATTTTAAGATTCTTTTAACCATTACCTGGGTAAGGAACTAAGCAATCATACATCTCAAGCTCAGGTTGAAGACAGCCCTTCATTTGTTCATGCACAAATATCAGGAGTCAGATATCCCAATGTAGATGCTGGTTTATTTCACTTGCTATCTTTTAAATTTGTTAATTGTTTACCAATATAGTTTACCTCTATCACTTTGCAATTAAGTTACACTGTATTATATACTGCCTTGTATCAATGATATACAATAAAATACATAGTGACTAATTTCAAACTTGATCAATGTGAGCACATGTTCAAAAACACAAAAACTTCAAAATCTGTTTACATATTCATGTAAGTCTATGTTGTGATGGGTTACATAGTTTTAGAAAAAGGATTGGGTTCTAAAACTGAAACCACAGATATTAGTACATAACCATCCACTCTAATGGCTTAAGTTCAAATCTTGATTGGGTTACAACTGAATGATGTTTTGGTTCTTAACCTCCTACCTAGAGAATGTTTATTCAGATTATATAACTCCAACAAATGCTGGCACAAACGACATATTCTGCTTTGGGGAAGCTGTAAGCATTTTTATAAGCCAGAAATGCATTGGCAAAGTAATATGAGGAAGCTTGTTCTAGCCACAGTTACTCTGTGTCCTTAGTGTAAGTAATACTCTCAGTTTTATTATCAAAGTTTCCCAACATTTATCCATAATTAATTTACACAAAATCCAAGATAGTTTAGTGTATATCTCATAAACTCAGAGGATAATATAATGTAGCAGCATTTGAAAGTTTAGAATGATATTTTCATACAGGAACACTAACCTTCTTGACTTTGCTTGTTGCGTTTGATTCTTCATGAGGCTTGAGGAGATTCCTAAAGCCTTCATGTGAGTCATGTAAAACATCTTGGCTTATTTGTTGTTCATTTGCCACACCTAAAACCCAAGTGAATTCAACATCAATTAGAACTTTATATGAACTGAATTCTACTGCAACTCAAGTAAAACAAAAATGAAAAACTGTATTAATTTATATGTAATGTTGTTGTTAAGTGCCGTCTAGTCCGTTGCGACCCATAGCAACCCTGTACAGGGTTTCCGAGGGTGTAAATCTTTACGGGAGTAGAAAGCTTAATTTTTCTCCTGCGGAGCGGCTGGTAATTTTGAACCACTGACCTTAAGGTTTGCTGCCCGATTCGTAACCACTACGTTACCAGAGCTACCATATGAAATATAGATATTTAAAATAAGTATTACATATTCTTAATTTTTTGAAATTTAGCATATCCCAAACAATTCGGTTCTCATACTTCGGAAATATTGTCAGGAGGGACCAGTTGCAGGAGAAGGATATCATGTTTGGTAAGGTGGAGGGTCAGAGAAAAAGAGGAAGACTCCCAAGGAGATAGATTGGCAAAGTGGCAGCATCAATGGACTCAAATGTGGCAACAGTAGTGAGGCTGGCCCAGGATTGGACAGTGTTTCGTTCTGCTGTGCATAGGGTCACTATGAGTTGGTACCGACTCGATGGCACCTAACAACAACAACAACAAACAATTCAGGCAACTCAAGGCTCAGCAACAATTTTGTCAGATTACAATGTACTCTTTACTGTTCAGTGCTGTCCAGTTGGTTCCGACTCATAGCAACCCTATAGTTTCCAAGAGTGGCTGGAGGGTTTAAGCCACCAACCTGGTGGTTAGCACCCAGTGCTTATCCTACAGTGCCACACCAGGACTCCTACAATATACTAGCTCCAAAATATATTTGCCCTTTTGATAATACAAATATGAGGGGGCTTCAAAAAGTTCATGCACAAATCCCATTACCTCTCAACTGCATGTTTCCATGAACTTTCTGAAGCCCATTCCTATGTGAGAATATGTATATGTGTATGTAATTGTATACTTTCTTCACTATTCAAACTCCAAGACAAATGTTATTATATAATGACCCAAAACCAACTTCTTGATATAGTTAGTAATATATAGAACTCAGGGATGAGGAACCTTTTTCTGCCAAAATTTATAACATCATTCAGGGGCTACATGAAATTATCAACTTAAAAATTAACCCACTTTATTTTGCTGAACATTTAATTAACTCACCCCTAATGTTATGGCTAAGGAGCTCTGGTAGCATAGTGGTTACAAGTTGGGCTGCTAATCTCAAGGTCAGCTAGTTTGAAACTACCAGCTGTTCCACAGGAGAAAAATGAAGCATTCTGCTCCTGTAAAGATTTACAGCCTCTGAAACCCTATCCAGGGTTGCTGAGTCATAACCGGCACAGGCACATAACCACCACCACCACCAATTTTATGGCTCTGATAACATAGTGGTTATGAGTCAAGCTGCTAGCCTCAAGCTCAGCAATTCGAAACTACCAGCCATTCCATAGGAGAAAGATGAGGCTATCTGCTCCTGTAAAGATTTAGAGTCTCGGATATTCTATGCAGGATTTCTGTGAGTCCAAACTGACTCCACAACATACCACCACAACCAATGTGATAGCCTTAATAGGATCAAAGCAAATGATTTCCAGGGCTTTATATGGACTGCAGGCCAGATGTTCCCCACTCCTGGTATAGGAGGAAGTATGTAACCTCAGCTTTTGGATCAGCTTGAGTTTTTCTAGAGAACAGTTTTCAGTACAAACTTCAGGTTCCAATCTAAAAATGATAGATGTACATGATTCCACCTTGTAATCCCCACGCCCTCCCAATTATCCACCTTAGACCAGCTGTTTAACATGTAGACACATAAAACAAAAACACTCAAGTGAAACATGATTTCATTAGATGCTAAATGGTAGAGAAGTCCTAAACAACCCACAGTGAAGCATAACGTTGTTTGTTTGGGTTGACTTACCTATTACCATGCCATTGTTGTTATTGTTAAGTGACACTGAGTTGGTTCTGACTCATAGCGACCCTGTATAGGGTTTCCAAGGAGTGGCTGGTGAGCTTGAACCAACTACCACATGTTCCAATCAACCTCATAGTCCAGCACATTAAACCACAGTGCCACTCCAGGACTCATATGGTGATTATTCTTTTTATATCTTCAAAATATATACTACACAATTTAATGGGTATTTTGAAGAAAGATTAGGGCAATTAGCCAGCATATATAACTTTCAATGGGAAAAAGCACACGTGGATACAGAGGGTATATAGCAGCTTGTTGTTGTTGTCAGGTGCCACTGAGTCAGAACCAACTCATAGCGACGCCATGCACAGCAGAACGAAACAATGTCTGATCCTAGGCCAACCTCACTACAGCTGCCACACTTGAGTCCATCAATGATGCCACCTGGCCAATCTATCTCGTTGGGGGGTCTTCCTCTTTTTCTCCAACCCTCCATTTTACCAAGCATGATATCCTTCTCCAGCAACTGTTCCCTCTTGACAATATGTCCAAAGTATGAGAAACAAAGTTTAGTCAGCCTAGCCTCCAAGGAGCACTCTGGCTGCACTTCTTCCAAAACAGATCTGTTGGTTCTTTTGGCAGTCCATGGCACTTTTAGTATTCTCCTCCAACACCACAACTCAAAGGCATCAATTCTTCTATGATCTTCCTTATTCACTGTCCAGCTTTCAAATCCATCTGATGTTAGGGACCATTTAAGTTCCATCTCAAACCAAGTGATTATTAGCCACCTTCCATTAGAAAATAAAAGTTAACCCAACTTCCAACATCATTCCACTCAGTCATGAATTTACTTATTCAAGACATATTCAATAATCAAAGATTTAGCTAGTTGTACCCTGGAGAGTCCAAGATGAAAGAAACATTGTCTTCACTCTTAAGGAGTTCACTACCTAACTGACGGTGTAGCTATAGACACATATTTGTTGGTTTTGGGAGCCCAGAGTACTTTCAATACTTTCCTCCAACACTGTAACTCAAAAGCATCAATTCTTCTATGATCTTCATTATTCACTATCCAGCTTTCGCATGCATATAAGGTTATTTAAAATATCATGGCTTGGGTCACGCGCACCTTTATTCTGACATCTTTGCTCTTCAACACTTTGAAAACGTCTTGTGCAGCAGATTTGCCTAATGCAATACGTCATTTGATTTCTTAACTGCTGCTTCCATGAGCATTGATAGTCATGATTAGATGGGTTAAATTCCAAATAAAGCTAATGTTCTTAACTAACTTTCTCTTAAAAACAGTATATGTTCTCATACTTTTATGAGATGTATTAAGTTTATCAGATGCCTCAAATTTTACTTGTCCTGGTATAGAGCTGCAGGTTAATTCGCTGGACTGCAAGATCAGTTTGAATCGCAAGGTCGGCAGTTCAAACTCGCCTGTCACTCCTTGGAAATGCTATATAAGGTCACTATGAGTTGGAACTGACTCGACAGCACTTAACAACATTAAGTTTATCAGATGAATCAAATCCACAAAAATCTTAAAGGGAGGAGATTATAATCATTGTAATGAAACAAGGTGTATGTTTTGTTGAATGTAAAGCTGATGATTTGCCTGGTAAACTTTCACTCAATCCACAGAAATCTAAAAAAAAAAAAAAAAAAAAAAAAGCCAGGATGTGGTCTCATAATCCTTCCCAATCTGGAGCCCCAGGCAGTGACCACCAACCAACTGAAGTTGACACAGGAATCATTTGTCATTTCTATCACAAAGATTAATGAACGGAGACAAATAACATTGTGCCATGATGTCTATAATGTAGTCTAAAATATTTCAGCATGGATCATGTGGATATTAAATATGCATGTTAATTTGTCTTTATCAAGAATGTACTTTCCCTAGATGGGTCAAATAACCTATTAAAAGCAGTGGCAACTTCTAGAAATTCTTCAACCCAATATGAGCTTTGCTAATTGGCCAAATGAATAACAGAAATGAGCTGGAACTGGTAAAATATTCTAGCTTTTTACTCAGCATAATGGATATCAGAAATAGTTTCTGAATTAATTAAAATGTTACCAGGTAACTCCCTACCAATTCATTAATAGAATATAAAAGTTTAGCACAAACTGTACCTTAAATCCCTAGGGATTATATCCAAAGTTTAATCTTAAATAGTACTGGGGGTCAAAGAATGTGGCTAAATACTGCTGCCAGTAAAAGGAACTCTAGCTCTGCTAACGTAGTGGTTACAAGTTTGGTTGCTAACCTTATGGTCAGCAGTTTGAAACTACCAGCTGTTCTGCAAGAGAAAGACGAGGCTTTCTGCTCCGATAAAGATTTACAGCTTTGGAAGCACTATACAGGATCACTGTGAGTCAGAACCGACTTGATGGCACATAACTACCACCAGCACAGCTGACAGTTAAGTTTAAAGAACTTGCCAGTAAAATACTGCGTGCCTCCTGTTAGCCTTTCATATATGGATTGTAAGTATCAGGAGCTCTAGTAGCATAATGGTTATGAGTTGGGCTGCCAATCTCACAATCAGCAGTTTGAAACTACCAGCAGTTCCAAGGAAGAAACATGAGGCATTCTGCTCCTGTAGATTTACAACCTCGGAAACCCTACACAGGGTTGCTATGAGTTGAAACCAACTCCATGGCACATAACCACCACCATAAGAACTGAGATTTCAGTACAAAGGTCTTTTTTATGAACGATTTCCTATCTGCTGCCAATGTTTACTAAATGCCTGCATATTTGAGACTGGCTTTCATTCAAATCTGATATACAACAGTGCTTGTAGTAGCATGGATACCCATCACCAATCTCTCTAAATTGGTGAGTACTAAATACACTGCTCCTTGGAAACCCTATACAGGGTAGCTGAGTAGGAACCCACTGGATGGAACTTTACAACTACTGATGACAAAGAATCTAATAGCTGTACATAGTAAAATTGTTTAGAAAATTTCACGTGTTCAAAGTATATATGTCTGCGCTGACAAGTAAGCTTTCAGTATCTATAGCAAAAATTGACAGGAGTAGG